CTCATATTACTTTTAATTAAACTATCAATCTCTCTTTAAACCCAAATTTACTACCTAAACTACCATCACAAACCTAATTCAATTTATAAATTTTTCTCTATACCCATTTTAGAAAATACAAATTCAAAATTTGCAAAAAGAAGTCCATTTCAAGTTAGGACTACGAAAAAGTGGACAATGCATAATCTAAACAATATGATTTTCTTCGCAATCATATTATGATAGGGTTACCAAATATTTCAACTTCTGTTTCACTAAACTAAATTGTGAAACTGTAAAAACCATGCACTAGGTTTTCTTGGACAGAGCTCATCAAATTTATCTCCATGGATATGATATAGGTCTAATGCAAGTTATTTTTCTATTTGTATGGGATACAACAGATTTACTTGATTTTAGTAATGTTTGGAAGAGTGCTTATTTGATTTAATGTGTGTTCATATCTTTCTGCAGGGTTTAATCAAGAATCATTTTTCACAGCTTCAGACCTTGAAGACTAGGGCAGATTTCGAATGCCCTGTGCGGTTGATCAACACTAACTTGCGTGAGGTTGACACAATCTTATCCAATTGACAAGGGAAATGTACCCCTCTATCCTTACTAGAAGAAGATGATGTTTCGATGATTTCCAGTTTCATGCCTTGAATGAATCCTGTCTCACCCTTGGTACTGCATCGAAAGAACCATGCACTAGAAGTCCGGATGAAACCATTACATGGATTATTAATTTGGATGAAATAAGGGGTGACGGTAGGGTTTAATTATAGAGTGTCAGTTTATTGATAAGTTTTATTTTTATTGTTAAGTTCATTTCGTACTTGATGGTAATTATGCAATAGAGTAAAAAATAAAATTAAAGTTTAACTTGGTTGTAGAAAGAGGTTGTACGGGTTCAAATAAAATTTTCCATTGAAAAAAAATCAACGAAAAAAAATCAACAAAGGTTTGTAAGAGATAAAAAGGGGTGTGAATAGCACCCTCCTTTACATATCTAAGTCTAAATAATTAAGAGTCTAAAACGACTCTATCACCCATCAAACCATGCCCAAAATATGATGTTGAAAGCCGAGAAAGAAATTTAAAGGAAAATATTATGACGGTCATGGAAATCTACCTTCAACCTATTTAGACATCGAAATCTAACTCTATTTTATTTTTTGAGTTTTCATGTCAGCATGTCTGATTTAGGACTTCTAAGGAATGAATATATTTTACTCCTTGGTTGTAACAACCCGTCCCCAAAAACTACAGTTTTTTTAATTTTAAAATGTGAAATTTCGAAACTGCACTTCGAGGCAAATGCATTGACTTTTGTTGACCGTCTTGTTGAGTCACGTAAGATCCATTTTCTTGGCATATCCTCATAGTACTCGTCGCTACGAACGCGTGGGCTCAATCGGAATGTAATTTGGAGTTATAACGAATGAGTTATTAACAAATGAAGTCGAGGGCAAAATTGTAAATTTATTATTTTCTGGAATGCTCCAAATTTTTGGAGCAAAATTAGGAAAGCCAAGTGTGTGGCCCAGATTAAAGGAAAGAAAAGATGGATGGTGGAGATTGAAGATAAAGGAGAGAAAGGAAGGGGGGAACTGGACCAATTATGAAATGGAGAAAAGGGATAGAACCAATGGGAGGGGAGGAAAGGAAGGGAAAGGAGGAAGGGGGAGAAGCAGCCAACCGGGATCCCAAAAAGACCTGGTTGCGACCCACGGCAGACCCGGTTCTAGGTTCCTAATTCCGACTATTTTCGTCAATTTTTCCAACTAATTCCACCCAATTACTACCTACACATACAACCCCGACCTCCATTCTACCATTTCCACGCCAAATTAGATGAGATTGGGCTCGAAATTATGAAGAATTGCACCAGTGGATGCGTATGGTTCCCCGACGGCAATCCACCATTCCTGCAAGTAACCCTGACAACCACCACCACCAATAGGCTCCCTTCAACCCCAGGAACAAAGCCCAAGCAGTGGTGGAGGCGTCAGAGCTTGTATGGAAGCCAAATCGAAGCACACTCTTTTCTAGGGTTCCAGCGGGTTCGTGGTGAATTAAGGCTGTTCCAGGCCAAATTGGACTTCATCACAGGTATAAAACTTGCTCTACTCACTGAGATCTTTATTTCTGTGAAGTTTGAGAATTTTTAGAAATAGTTAATTTTTCGGGCGAGTCAGGACAGCCGACCGCCGTGTACGGCGGCGCATGGGCCGAGTCATCCCCTGACCTTCCTAAGCTAAGTTTGATACCCCAATTCCATAGGTGAAGTTAGATTGATGAAATTTCATCATTTGAGCATAGTTTTGATAGGATCCGCCACTTGATTATTATAACAATTAACGATCCGACCGTTGGATCGTCACCAAACTTTAATACGTTGTAGTATGTAATATATGAGGATCATAGAACTTACGGATTGGGAATCCAATGTACGGATCTTTCCGGATTGGATTTGTAAGTTCATAAAATAAAACGTTAACCGCCACTTGCACTTGCAATTGGCGGAGATCCAACCGTCGGATTGTCATGAAACTTTAGTATGATGTTTTAGAAGCATATTTTGGATCTGTGGAAGTTACGGATCCGAAATCTATGATGCGGATCTTCAGGATCGAGTTACGTAGGGTTGTGGACTACCGTCGATCTTTGACCGACGACTGACTTTTGGTTAATGGGTCTCAAATCATTTTAGAACGTCCTTGGGGATGTGTTTTATGTAAGTTAAGTGTTCTATTGATAAGAATTCTGAGACGTGACTGAATATTTGTTCTCGGCGACGATCGTTCGTGATGCCTCGATATTCATGCTAGGGAGTTGTAGCTCGAACCTCAGGTGAGTGGGCAATTGTTTTCTACATATATATATGCTTTACAATTTCCAGAAAACGTTTTTAAATGAATTTATGCCTTATATGCTATGTCTGTACCACTCATTACTATATTGTTGCATTAGTATGAATTGTGAATTATACTATTTGATGCTGTGGAGGCTCAGGTAAGATTCAGGTGAGTTATCATGTGATTGGTCTTGTTGCATTGCATATTGCTATGCATTTATGCATTTAGAGCACCTGGCTTACATTTATTATTGCTGAGATATTATGACATGGCATACTTCGGTTTTTGTTGCTCTTGTGCGTTGGTTTTCATACCTACGCAGTAGTATTTTCTGGAAACTATACAGGTTTTACGGCGAGAGGTTATAACATTTTCAAAAGGTTTTTATTAAGGCGGAGCTAGAATTTTACTTTAGGAGGGGCCACATGTAATTGTTAAAAAAAAAGAAGATAATATTTACAAGAAAGTATAATACATGCTTGGAGTTTGAGCTAATTAATTTTTTTGAGGTGCTAAATTCTTTTTCATGTTGAAATTAACCTTCCAATATCAAGTCAGTATAAAGAGTAGTTACTCAAAATAAAAAAGAATAAAATCAATGAAAAATGCTAGGAATACCATGTTTTTAGACCATATTTTGGAGACCACATGATATGATGGTTGATGATTAGATTTCTTCTTTAATGATTTAAAGAACTAGTTCAACCATTAACAACTATATTATCACGTGGTCTCAAGATATGGCTCAAGGAGATGGTTTCTATAGCATCGACCAAGTTAATATAGAATAATTTGAGAATTTTCGAACAAAAAATGTGAAGAATGGATTGGGAATTTGGAGAAAGAAATATTTAAAAATTTTAGTAAAAATGCAAAGAGAACAGAGAGATTTACAAACTTTAATATTATTGTGGGTTGGGAATTTGGAGGATGAAATATATGAAATTTCAAGAAAGGGACGAGAAAAGCTCAAAGTTTATTAATATTTTTTTTTTTGTTGAACAAAGTTTATTATTATTCGGTTGGCAATATTTTTTTATAAAACTAAACTAGACTTTAGATTTTAAATTTTAAAAGTTATTTATAAAATAGAATGTTAAATTTAGTTTTAAGATGAGTGTTGGAAATTTTAAGAGTGTATCACATGCAAGTCACGCGACCTAAATTGACGAAAAATTGAATAGAATAGTTTCGAATCTAATATTAGGAATGTAATTGGCAAATTTTATTAGTTTGAGGACTGATTTTTCCAAAAAAAAAAAAGGTTTAAGGACCTAATTTTCACTCAAGTAATAATTAAGAGACTAAATTGATAGTTCACCCTATTTTAATTATTGGTGATTAGAATTTAAGAGATTAGTAAAAACTAAAAGAAGTATACTACTAAGTTTAATATATATATATATATATATATATATATATATATATAATACTAAATATTAAGAATGGTTAAAAGAGTGAGGGTAGGCATTGGCCTATACTGGCCTATTAGTGCCTCCGCCTTGGTGCTACCTTTTTTCTTTAACAAACAATAAGGTAATTGCACTAAATACATTAAACTACACGAATGAGGATTTAAAGTTGAGTGCAGAGGGTGAAACACGCTACTCTGATCCATGCACTTGTCTTAATGCAAATCTGGATTTAGTCCAACTCCCAAAGTTGAATAATGTTGCTTTCATTAGCAGAGCTGAATGCATGATGGATATAGAGAAGCAAAAGGAAAATTGGTTGACTGTGACTCAAGCTTGGGGAATTTCGGTCTAAATTCTCTTCCCAGGTTCTACGTGCTTAGCATTTTATTTAGTTGGGATTATGATTAATAACCAAGCTCACAAATTATTATCGGCGTCGCCTCCTTACTTCGCCTTTGTTCGTTTGATTCTGGCCATCTTTTTGTTCGCGTTTGCTACGACGTTTTGTCTTCAATCGGTGTTTGAAGTCACAGACAGACACAGAAGGGTTGATGATCTTCCCTCAACTATGGAGGCAGGGAAGGACTGTCAATCCAAGGTTTAGTATTCAAGCCAACGAGTGCTGAAACTTTTTTTGATCTTGTAAAATGCACTAAAGGTGTTTTGTCCATGCTCAAACTTGCGTGTACTAGTCTCTTAGCACGCGCTTTTGAACTCTCAGCCGTACATACATTAAAAATATTTGTTTCAACATAAAAATTGTTTGTTAACTGACGATCATGCGGAATTGCAGATTTTGGAATACAATAATCAGAAAATAATTTTGTTTCAAAATCATCTGAAACAGTGTGACCTTCAGAAAGTGAAGTTTTACAGTACCAATGCAGCTAGCCACTTATACAAAGGATAATAATTGAGGAAACCATTTTCACAATACAAGAGTCAAATTTCGAATCAAAGCGATTATGTTTTCTATGCCTGCTTGATTACCGCCGATCTAGCCTTCAGATTAAGAAAGATTGCCCTGAAATTAACAAATCTAAGAGTGAGAAATTTTCCAAGCAATTTTTAAATTGTAAGGACACAAGCAGTTATAATTTAAATGCACAAATTATTTTATTTTTTTTAATTCAAATGATGGTTATGATGTATGACAACGAGAGGTATTTTAATGAGGCAATCGAAGAGAGCAGCGTACCAGCATGAGGCAACAAAGCTGTGAAACAAGACACGAAACTGCAGAGGCATATATTGGTAATTCACCCAACCAACAATAGGCCAAAACTGCAACCATCATAATTTCAGCATCGTCAATTCATTGTTTCACAATTATACCTTGATTATAAAACAACAACAGTAAGTTATTATTTCATACCTTCCATGCGGTCAATTGGATAGAAGGATAGTCCTTTCGAACTTTGCTCCTGACTAAATTCCATGGTCTTCCTGCAATACCAGAATGAAAAGTAAGCACTGCATCATTCCTAGTATAATGTTTCTAAATTCACAGATATGCCTGCGCTACGCAACAAAATCGCCAAGCTTTCAAAGATGTAAATCAAAACATGGCTGAGACCATTGAAAGTAAAACAGGAACAAGTCAAAGGAGCGAGGTAATGTTTAGGGTTAAGCATGAATTTATTGATACGTAAGTATTAAAGTCATATCGACCAGGAAACAATATTCAGAATAAAATAAATTCAGCTTCAGCATTAACACTCATTATTATTTTTTCAGTATCAGTTTGGCCTGAGCATTTATTCAGAACACACTTCTGAAGATAAATGCACATTTCTTTGGAGAATTTTCAAGCAAACATCACAGCTCTGCTCTTCAAAAGGACACTGAAGTTATAAGTGTCACACCATTCTGGGAGGAAGGACAGGAAAACAACTCATAAATATGGAGAAACTCGTGCTTGGTTCCGAGGCAGGATTTCCTAAAATGAATCCGGCTGGGGAATTTTAGCACTTTAAAAAAATCGGAAACAATACAAAAATTCTGTTTATCTGATAAATTAGACCTAGTGCTTTAGATTCCCCCCCCCCCCTCCCTCTTTACTCAATTACACCACAATAAATGCACAAACAACATCAAACAATTAAAGTTCTCTAAAACCACAAAACTGTGAATTGATGTATCCTACGCAAAGACTGGATGTATAGTGCGCACAGAGTGTAAGAGTATGAGTATGATTCTTACAAGTCTTGGAATAATTGATATTATGAAGAAGTCTAAATCATGTTGACAAGAGTTAATCCAATCATATTGGTATATTGAGGACTCTTGTGTTTGCTCGTTTATAGGACTCATTGATATAAGGAATGCAGTCTTGTATTTCTTGTGGGATTGTTATAGGGCGATCCAGGTCTTGTAGTATAAAACCACAAGCCCCTGCTCTCACAAAAGCATGCTCTTATTGTTCCAATTACCTATAACTTGGAGTGCATTGAGTTTTGCAGAGAGGAGAAGGTTGTGTGTAGATTTCTCTAATGGCTCTTAATCCTAATTTGTTGAACATAGTTATGATATGGTGTCTAGCACTATTCTTTCCTATGATCAATGCCGTGAAGAACATGTGTGTTGCTGTGGGAGATATTCATCAGCCAATGCATGTCGGGTTCTATCAGATGAGGGAGGAAACTCAATAGCCTTGCGTTGGTACAGACACAAATCCAATCTTCACCATGTGTGGGATAGGGAGATCATACAACAAACTATGAAGGACTATTATGATAGAACACACGGGAAAGACTTTGGCAAACAGTTTGCAGGTATGTGTTGCAGATATTACTTCAGTATTTGCATATACAGAATATATTTGGAGTGATGATTGTGATTTAGTTGGTTAAATCTTATGTTCTTGGTTAGTTTATTATAGAGCTTATATGGTTGCTCTTACACAGAGGACATCCTTTTGCCCTCCGTGCGGCCAAACAAAGCAAGAACAAACATGAAAGAAAAAGAAAAGACAAATCAAGTCCCACCAAGCCGTCATACTACTGTAACTAAATACAAAATGGTGTTAAATACTAATGCAAACCAGATATCAATTACGATATGAGATGGATCCTTTAAGCGTATACCAAAGATATGCGCATACCTTCAATAACCAAGCCATAGTACGTCATGAAAACCATGTTGTTCCAAGGAGACGAAGTTAATTGTTCCACCAAAACCTAATAATTGACATTTCCATTCATCAATAGTCGGCTCAAAAATTTCATGTAAGCTTTCAGCACTTATTTAACTCAAAATGGAAGCACAACTTCGACTTCACAGAAACAAGTTCACCTTCTTTGCGATCGTTTTGTTGTCCTTCTTTCCCTTAAATATTACATCCATCAATTTGTGGAGGAAGTGCCCAAATGGTCCCGCATATGCGAAACCATACAGCTGAAAACGAATTTAAGCTTCAGATTCCAACACGATATACATGGTCATAGAACACAATCGTATATATAACCTGATTAACATATCAGTCTAATTGGAGAAAAGTCAAAACTGAGAAACCAAAACGACATATGAAACAAGAAGACAAACTTATCTCCTTATTGTCTTGTTCTCCATTTTCTCAGCAGCCAAACAAATTTTTAGAATTTTTTATGAGAAAAAACCAAAGTTGACAATCTAATGCAACCCAACTAGTGATTTATTAAAAATAAAATTACACTCAAAATTACAAACAATGATCCAAATGGGCATGCATACCATTATAAGAAGCAGTCTTCTCAGTTGAAGCTTTTTGATCCCAGAAATCTTCTGGGCTATTGCATCACTGCACCCAGCTAAAACTCCTGATGTAATTGCCTAGTAACCCAACAATTCAAATCAGATAAAAAAAACAAGCATTAATCTTTTACATACCAATAAATATATACATATATATGTATATATATTAAAAACTTGGTTCAAACAACTCATTTTGGGATTAGAAAAACTGGGTCTGAATCAAACATTGAAACAAACCTTAGTTCTGAGAGGGTGGGATTGAAGCTGTATGAGATATTTTCTCCAAGCCTCGCTGACTATTTCAGACATGGTGACTCCAAAGCTCTCTCTCCCGCTCTGTTTTTTTTAATCTCAATGGAGGGTGTTTCATTGAGTCTTATAAAGATTCAAAAGATCTGAAAAGTTGAAATGGGGTTTTATAATTCTCAATTTTAATAAATTCCTTTTCTTCGTTAACGACAAATTGGGGTTTGGTAGGTGGTGTGCGAAAGCAGTGTGATCAAACAAGACGACTCTACCTTACCATGCTTCCACCATAACAAGGAAGACCGTTACCTTATAATAACATTTGTCAGGAAAAGATCAAGGTAAATTTACATTTAGAAAGTGTCATTCACTCTTACTTTTACATCTCACACTATTTTGTTAATTTTTTGTCATTAATTATTTTTAATTTATTTGATTTGACTGTCGAAAATTAAGATAAACATGTGAAAAGTAAAAATAGTTATATGAATACCACTACCCTACAATTTTTTTTGGAATATTTTTTGAAGAATTTGTTCCTTTTAACTTTTTTTATACAGCAATATTGGAATGGGTTGTTGAGAATCAAACTAGAAACCTTTGGTCATAATTTTTAATACAACAACCTTTGGTTGGGGTTTGAGAGATAGAACTTGAAACTTTTGGTCGAAATAGTGGATACTCTTTTTTTTTTTTTTTTTTTTGGTCAAATGATAAATTTGTTAGAATAGAGAGTTGATGGAGTTTAAATTCACGTGATGGTATACGAACAACACTTCTCTTCATCATTGTAATCGAAGGTCTCTTGCAATAGTGAATACTCTTTTAAGTCTTAACCAGTTAGTCTTTTGTAAATTTATGGGTAAATTATATAGTAACCCCTCATATTTGAGGTCTATTACAACCTCATACAATATTTTTAAAACATTTAACTTTCATACCCCACGTACTATTTTATTTCAAAATAATACATCCGTTAGATTTTCCATTCATTGATCCATTAAGCGCTGACGCGGCTGCCAAATGTGTGCCACGTGGCAAAAATAATAATTTTTTAATTTTTTTAAAAAAAAACCTAAATCTTCTAAGTTTAAAAAAAAAAAAAAAAAATTGAAACCTTATCCCCCTCTTCCTCCTCTCTTCTCCCCGCAACCCCCAAACCCAAAAACCTTTCCCCCCCTCCTCCTCCTCTCTTCTCTCCCATTTTCATCTTCTTCCCCTTGCAACCCAGAAAGAAAAAAAAGAAAAAAACCCCTCAGTTTGTCTTTCCCCCCCTCTTCTTGACCTCTCTTCTCCCCCATCTTCATCTTCTTCCCCTAACCCCTTACTTGCAACCCAGAAAAAAAAAAAAACCCAGATCCCGCCTACGCCGCCATCGCCGGGTTCGTGAGGTGGGAGGAATGGGTGTGGATTTAAGGAGTGGGGATGTGTAGAGGAGGGAAGAGGGTGGGTGCGAGGGTGGGTGTGGAAGGAGGGATGTGCGTTTTTGGGTGAGGTGAGTCGTGGGGGAGGGAGGGTCTCCCGGGGGGGTTTCTTTTTGGGTTTCTGCTTTGGGGGTTCGTGGGGGAGGGTTCCCAAGGGGGTGGGGCGGGGGGGGGGGGGGAGCGCGTTCTTTCTGGGTTTTTGGTTTGGGGGGTTCACGGGGGTGGGGGTTTTCTTTCAGCTTTTTATTTATTTATTTTTAATTTTTTAATTTTTTTTAGAAGATTCAGGTTAAAAAAAAATTATTATTTTTGTCACGTGGCACACATTTAGCAGCCATGTCAACGCTTAACAAATCAATGGATGAAAAATCTAACGGAGGTATTATTTTAAAATAAAATAGTACGTGAGGTATGAAAGTGAAATGTTTTAAATACGTTGTATGAGGTTGTAATAGACTTTAAACCTGAGGGGTTACTATGTAATTTACCCTAAATTTATTTGATAATTTTAAGGCTTATTTACAAAAACATTCTTGAAACTCATCTTTCTCTAAAAACCCATTGAAATGCAAATTTTGTCAATCTTTTAAACATAACGGGTGTATGTAAAACTAATAAGACTAGAAAAATACAATACACACACCCATTTTAAAATCTCGTACATATTTGTTAATTTTTTTTATCTTTGATCTTATTCAATTCATTCAATATGACAATAGAGAAATTAAGAAGAATGCGTGAGAAATAAAAATAGTGTATGGATAACATTATCCTAAGACTATTGTTGTTAATGAGCCCCATCTGTCCAAAAACTTTGGTTAGTGTTTTAGTTTTCTTATTTTTAAAAAGAGAATCTTGAATTAAAATTGTTTTTTTATTAATTTTTCAACCACATGGCAATTATGTGACACAGTTCTTGTCAATGATGGGTCTCATTTGTCGCATGTAAACAGTTTGACGGATTTATTAGACTATGGGGCAAAGTGAGACACAATAAAACTTTATGAGGTTAAGTAAAACTCTAGTTGAGATTCAGTGGGTATGGATGTAATTAAGCTTAACTTTAATATAATAAAGAAAACCATCACTAAATTGCAGTGTTAAAATATTTGATGCAAATGAGTTGAATTAAATCAGGGGCAGAGCTAGAGTTTTAATACATTGGGGGCACCCCAATCTACATTCTTAATATAAATCAATTTTACAAGGAGGAAAACCCAAAGTTTTTCTTCAAGAGAAATGGTTTTCGTACACTCCTCTTTGGCACACTACTGTTTAAATCAATTTTTTTTAATAAATGATATTATTTATAATAAGGCGTTGGAGGAGAGGGGTATACCTCACAATGAGCTAGCAGTAATGTGGTTCAAATTCGCCTTTGGCGAGAATCAAATTTAAGACATCTTACTTACAAGTGAAGAAGAATACTACTATATCATAGTACTAAGTGGAAATTGTTCCTTTAACTCTATATACAATACAACACCAATTCCCTCCTTAAATAAAAAGTTAAGTTCAACTACTGTAAATAACAATTTGATATCAAATTTTTATAACTATCTGCCATGTGGCTTAGTCAACTTTAGGGGTGGCTCGGTACATGATCCCAAACAAAAAATGGTATCCCGAATCTCAAACCGAAAATTATAGGACGGGAATTTGAAGACCAATTTCGAATTGAAATTTTGGTATTCCCAATTTTCGGAATTTCTGAAATGTTTTTGGTATTTCGGGATGGATGAGATTGGATTTTGAATTTTGGACTTTTGAGCTGAAATTTGAGATCTTTAGGTTGTGAGCTAAAATTTGGGCTTTTGGCCTGAAATTTTGTTGCCCACTAATTGAAATGTAGGATTTTTACCTCATGCCAATTTAAAATTTCATACCAATTGAAATATTGATTCATTCATACCAAGTCAAATTGACATTCCAAAGTTGCAAATTACTTAATTTCATACTTTCATTTTTAATATAGTCTACTATCAAACTGCTTATATACATACATATATATATATATATATATATATATATACGTATGTATGTATATATTTTGGTTCGGGATTTCTGACCATTGAATATGTAATCTCAATTCCCATATCGAAAAGTTTGAAATCGGTTAGGTATGAAGTCTCGAAAATTTATGAATTATCTGTTTGAAAATTTTTCGGTATAGGACCGAATTTTTTTCAATGTGATTTGGTATTTTCAGGAAAAAACCTTCAAGCTGTAGTCAATTTCCTTGTATATAAAAAAAGAAGAAGTTAGAACAACGTAAATTTCACGTTTGGATTTGCGGATGATCCTTGATAGCTTTCTGACATTTTATTTATTTATTTATTAAAGGAGTGCTTTCTGATTTGATAAACGTGACTATCCAAATGCAAAAAGTATTTAGATATTCACGCTCTTAGCTTAAAGCTTGTTTAGATGTGTTTTAAAATGATTCAAAATATTTTTTGTAAAGATATTTTAAGAATCAATTCTTAATAAGGAAAATTAATGAAAATGGCTTAAAAACTTTGAGTTTTAATGATAAGAACAAAATAAAGGGTAAAGTAAATAGTACCATGATTGACTTTTTAGTGTAAAAATGTGGTTTTTCGTTAAAGTTCCCTTCTTAATAAAGTGCAAATTAATGTTGGAAAATCACTTCAATTACTTTATGAAAAAACACATAACTTGTGTTTTTTGCAAAAAAACATACTTCAAGTGTCTTGAAAATTCAAAAATATTAAAAAAAATGAGACTTTAATTGCAAGGTCCAAAGTATTAACAAATTCGTCAACCGTCAAGGTCAAATAGGGTAGGTAGCTCTAAAAGGTCATAAATAAGAATAAGAATCCTCTCCGGGTTCATTTTGTAAGAATTTTGGGAATCTTCAAATCATGTCCATTCATCGTACATTATACGGTTAGAAATTATTTTAAATATTTTTATTTAAAATTAAACATGAATAGTATTTGACGAAAACTGACCGCATGATATATGATAAATATACACGTTTTAAGGATTTCCGGAATCCTCACAAAAAGGATCCGGAGAGGATCCTCATTCATAAATTAATACCTTTTTGTTTTAGGGCATATACAAATTTATTTTATTTGTTCTTTGTGGTACTCATGAATTGAACCATATTAAATAAATTTAAAATTTTCAAAGATTTGAAATATAAGAGTTGTTAAAGGCTTTGGAAAATTGGAGGACCCCAATCCTGTAAGAGCATTTCTACATATTTTGAAGGGTTTGTTTGAGGTTAAGAGTGGAGTTGGGCGAGTTACTCCTCATGTGAATAATGAACTGCCATAGTTTCTAAAAAATAATTCTCCTCCTACTATTCACAATGACTGTTCTTTTTATTTTATTGTTTTATGTATGATTCAATTATTTAATGATAATTAATGTATGAGATTAATTTAAAATATTTTAATATGATTATTCCACATGTTCATATTTTACTTTTGGTGTATAGTATTATTTGTGGTAAATAATGTTTCTGGTGTAGAGAGTGAAGAATATGATTGATATTTATAGGAAAAAATGGGAAATAGCTGTGGATTTTTATTTTTATTTTCGAGTTTTTCATGAATTCTTATTTTTGAAAAAATTGTGACTGTGAATTGGAGTTACTATTTGGAATTGAAAGGCCAGGAGTGCACCAAGTGGCAAAAAGGCGTAGGAGAGCAATTAATGACCGTTGGAGGTGGCCCCCATGCCTGATTTTCTGTTGGCGCACTCTTCTTTCTGGCTTGTCTGGCGAAAATGCTCGATGTAAAAAAAAAAAAAAAGATATGCTTGTGGCTAATGTCAAGCAACTCGGGCTTGGGTTGGGCTAGAATTGCTGGAGCTTGAGCTAGGGTTGAAGTTGTCGAGGCTAGAAAGCATGGGTGGGGGTGTTTTAAAGTTATTTAGCACCTAGCCATGTGTTAGGGCTCGAAAAAGTCACATGCAAACCCAATCAAGTATTGAGGCCCAATTGTCCTAAATGCCCCAATTAAAGCTTAAACACATGCAAAGGAACGAAATCGAGAAGGGAAAATATTTACAATCATGCCACACTATCAGACGCTTGTATAAATCAAGCAATTTTCATGCAAATCCATGCATATTTACCATGCCATGCCTTATGAAGTTGACTACTAGTCATGCTAAAATAAGCCAAACCACGTACTGGGGCTTACCAAGTGAATCCTGGTGTGGATGGTTTGGAGTTTATCTGGCCTACACGAATCATGGAAGATTTTGGGCTGCTTGGGAACCTAAAGATCCCAGCCCACAATCTTTAAGTTTCACATAGGTGAGTTTGAGAGAGAACAAACCTAGTCCCTTTTTCCCTAGCAAGCTAACCAATCCAATTAGAAAAGAAACAGACTCAAGGCCTTAAGTTCATGTGAAGACCCAACAATTTAATGAATAGAGAGGTGGACTTTCTCTTCCTAACTCACAAAGGAGAACGATGAGCGAAAGTCAGGAGATGTGTTGCCAGAATTGACGTGTGTTGAAGTTGACTTGGGAAGGAGCACTCTGGGAAGAACAAGCGCCACAGTCTTCATGAGAACAACGATGCTTAGCTGTCTCACACCAAGAGTGAAGTGCGCAGTTGTGCTAGGAAAAAGGAGAAGGAAGACTTAGCTATAACGGGAGATGCCCTTCGCCTACAAAACATAACTTTTCACCTACAGAAAGGGAGGTTTTACGCAATACTTGAGGGGGGGGAGAGTGTTAGAAGGGGGAGGGAGATTCAAGGTTGCATTGCACCAAGCAAGGAAAATCACTCCCTAGGTGCAAACAAACTTGAATCTTAGAGATGACAATTTTCTTACAACCTTAGGGATTCCTCCCTGTTTCCCTTGGTCTTCCATAGCCAACAGGAGCTCTCTTAGAACCCTAGTAAATCCAAATTATCAAACCTAGAACACCATGCAACCACGCAAAGTTATCTCTCGTGTTAAATCGGTAAACTTTTAGCTTCCACAACATGTCTTACTCAAGCAAGCCATTATTTTCTTAATCATGTTGTCTTTGAGCCATTAATCCAACCGAGATACTTCCTAAGACACGCTAATTCTATTGAGGCATCCTGACACTTGGTGTTCAAACAGACTAGGGGAAGTAAAAAACGTAGCCGTCAATGCCCATTTTTAGTTCGGCTAAAAGTCCCCCGACACCATGGTTAGAAAATATGGGTTGAAATGGTTTAAAGAAGATTATTGCAAGAAGAAATTGACAGAAAAAAAAAAAGTTTTATCAATCTTTGAAATTAACCTACCTTTTTGAAATGGTCCATTAATTAGAAAATTGATCACTGTCATCTTTGAATATGAATGTCGGTGTGCCGCAAATCAATGTCTTTCTTGTTGTCCAGTTCCGTCAAATTTTATTTCAGTGCGATAATGTGGCACACAAATGAGTCCCACTAATCTGATCTTATAACGCCACTTGGATTCATCATAAACACCAATAATTTTAAAGATTTTAAAACTAAATCTGATTGATTTTGTGGAAACACAGTAAACTCTTCAAGAGTGTCATGTGGCTATTGAGGTCATTGGATTCTGGCCCAGAACATGGCCTTAAAGAGGCCCATATCAGTCTTCTGAGTTCTGATTTCATGTTATTTCATTCCCACTAGTTTTATGTAGTCATGTTTATCCTCTAAACACAACCAATTTGAGGATAATTTGTGTCTCATTATTCATTGGGTGGTGCTATCCACACACCCTTTTCATTTTTGATCGTTAGATCGAATGAATTAAAGAAAATCAACGGACAAAAATTAACAATGATGTATTAAACAAAAAGGGTGTGTGTGAATAACACTACGCTTATTCATTTGTACATGTCCTTTCGACTTCCTCTTCAACTTCCTCCATCTATAATTTCTGCAGATAATTTGATGAATTGACATGAGAAATTGGATTTTTCATGTGTAAGAAGTAAGAACAAAGAAAAGGTACGTAAAATTTAGAATGGTGTCAATTTTAAGGAGTTCAAATTTAATGCATGCAGGAAAGATATATCCTAAGTTGCATCTTCTGATTGCACTTCCACAACTAATTAAAGATATATCGTTCCTCATTTCCTTATTGCTTTTATCATCTCACCCTCAAGGACTTCATCAATTTTGGGAGTATATTGGTAATATTCCTTCTAGGCTTCTACGTTAGCAGGGCCATTGAATTCACACAGAGATTTTTGTATAATATACTCCACACTTGTTGGGTTGTTTTGAGGACAATATCGGTGTTAAATCGATTTTTTATTTTTAAGTAACAATATATTTACGTTAAGGGATGGAAGAATATGTATAGAACTAGTAATATACGAGATTTGAATCTAAGATATCTTATATACAAGTAAAGAGAAATACCATTAAATCGTAGTAGTAATTAAAAGGTGGTGTTTAACTAATGGATAATGTTAGGGAAACCAAATTTGCAAATCAAATGATTGTCACCAAATAAGAGATAAACATGTTAACCGACATTTAATTTATAATTCAATTATCTGAAACCACATCATTTGATTTACAAGTTTGGTTAAAAAATTTGGTATCACTTGCTAATCCTTAACTAGTTAATCAGCCTACAATGCATATCGAAAGCTTTGTCTGACTATTTATTAGTTTGGTTTTATGAGATGATCAAATAATAGAAACTGGCGCATCTTTGGAGGAGCATTTGTATGTTTTAACAAACTGGTGCATCTTTGGAGGAGCATTATTTTGTCACGACATGGGGGGGACTGTGATCAGTCCTTTATTTCACTTCTTTCTATTAGGTAATTTGACCATCTATATTCCCCTAATATAAATCACAAGATGCACCATATTCATTACATTTCTTCCAACAAATACACAATTAAAAAAGTAACAAATATGTATTTCTTTACTTATAAGTGAAAGGTTTTATATTCGATTCTCGTCAAAGATGAATTTGAACCACATTATTGTGAGACTTAACCTACTACTTCACCCCCTTAGTGTGGATAATATTATTTGTTAAATAAAAATACATAATTAAAATAAAAAAGACAATGTCAAGAAAGTGACAAATAATACCCACTCAGAAATAAATACTGGAGATTACTTTCTAAACATGGAAAACATTTTTGGAGCAGCATATGGTCGTCCAGCCCAACCTACAATATTCACAAAAATAAGATGCTGGGTTAATCTCGAATAATCAAATTTGGAGGCCATATAAATAAGGGAAAATTAGGTTAATATCCTTCTTTTTGTTACTCCATTGATTAAAATCTTATTCATTTTTAATTTTTGATCAAAGTCCTTGGGTATTAATAACATCATTAATTATTTGAATAATAAAATATTTTTTTATTTTTAAATATATTCCTTTAGTGTTACAAATGTTACAATTAGTATATTTATATTTATGGCTAAATTTTTATCATATATTTTATTTTTAGTTTATACCTATTTTTAATTTGCAAATATTTTTTAATTTGTACCAATTTTCTTTTCATTTTTAATTTGTACCCATTTATTAGTTTCTTTTTGTGCCCATATTTTTTAAAGTTTTATTTGTGTTTGTACCCATGTGTATACCGTCACGTGACATTGTATATTTAATCAATGATAGAAAAATTACATATGGTATATTTATGTTTTATGCCTAAACTTTGTATCATATATTTATATTTTTAGTTTGTACCTACTTTTAATTTGAAACAATTTTTTTTAAAAAAAATTGTAGTATTTTCTTTTTAGTTTTATTTTGTACCCATGTATTAATTTCTTTTAGTGCCTATATTTTTTAAAAAGTCATTTGTACTCATAATTTTTAATCTTTTATCTGTACCCTAATTTATTTATAATGTACCCATTCTTCTTTATTAATGTACCACTTTGTTATATGTGAAATGTACCAATTTTTTAAAGGGAAATTTTATTTGAACCCTAAAAACTTCTTTCCACACCCATCTTAAATATTTTTGCCAATAAACTCTCCACTTTACCCCTAAATTAATGTGAGAGAAGAAGAATATATTGAAAGGAGATGAACCCATATCAGCCCCACCAACACCTGCTGCTTTCTGGCGTTTTCACTGATGCGGGTAAATTTTTTGTGTCAGCGTCTTCTCTTTTCAGGCTTTTTTCTGTTCTCTCTGTTTCCATCATATACTCTCCTCCTCCTCCTCTTCCTCCTCCTCTTTATTGCTGACTTCCTTTAACTGACAAATGCCGAAAGCAAATCGGGGCCTACACAGTTTTCGAGTGTTATAGAGTTGGTGACATGGAGAATCACGACCAAGGGTACCTCTCCGGTACCAAACCCACTGAATCCTCCGGATCCTTCTTCTTTGAAGGCCAAGTCGGTGTCGTGCTTCTCCAGAGTTGGCTTCGTGATCAAGCTTCTTCTCAAGCTTTCCATGTTGTATCTTTCCATACAGACTGGTGGTGAATACTAACAGTAACTTTGATGGTGGTACATTTTTCCTGATTTTTTCTGCAGCATTTAAAGAACAGAAGATGATGATGTGTGCAGATAGCAAAAAGAGAGAGACTTGAGTTCTTCATGGTCTTTAACTCATTGTGAACCATCTGGGAGATGATCAAAGAAGAAGGATCCGGAGGATCCGGTGGGTTTGGGTCAGTTGGAGGAAATCCGACGCTCGCAGTCGCATTCACGTTCACATACTCATACGCCAAAGAGTAGCTCGCTTACGTCCACACCCTCGAGGACGAGCAGGACCCTCACGAGCGAGGGAGGGAAATTACCCTCATCCGCGGAGTTGATCTCTTCCGAGAGCCTAGAGAAGCACTGTCGTCCGATTGAGCACGTGATGATGGAGACCGATGCCAAGGGGTCGCTGATCGAGCGGCTGGATCACGTTGAGGACCGCGTGCTGAAGCTGTGCGTGCAACTGGAGGAGGAGTTTATGGAGAGTAGTGCAGAAAAGAAGAGAGGTGACGAGGCGGAGATGATCAAGAGGAGTGAGAAAGAGAGAGAGGAGATGATCAGGAGGAGTGAGAAAGAGGAGAAGATTGATATCAGTGAGGTTGAGAGGATCCTCTCCCGATGGAAGGCGTTAGATGTCAAATCTTGTGAAAGGTAAATGGGCTGCCATGGAAGGCAGAAGTTGTCTTGAAAAATCACCAGCAAATCTCTGGTGGGGTTTGAGGTGGAAGTGACAGTGGGTGTAAAAAGACATTTTGATTTTGTTTTTTGTTTTTCAATTTTATACAAGGGTGAATTAGGAATTTGAATTAAATATTTTTAGAATTGGGTGTAAAAAGAGGTTGAATGGGTTTTAATAAAATTTTCCTTTTTTAAATAAAATGTACCAATTTTTCTAACACTATGGATACATTCTTTTGCCATTTATTATTTCTTATTTTTAAATAGTTTTTATCCATTTATTCAATCAAAATGTTTGAATTTTTTTATTGTAACCATTTCTAATAGTATTATAATGAGAGATTTTAAATTTATAGGATTATAAATCTCATAAAATATCAATGTCAAAACTATAAAAATATAAATATTAATAGTAATATAATGTGGTATACAAAGTCAAGGGACTTTAATCAAACTTTGAATACTATTAAGGTTTTAATTAAATAATGTTAAGGAGTAGGGACCGCATCCAAAGTATCCCTATAAATAATTACTTATAAGTACAATTCATCGTTATACGAAAATAACCTTTGGTGGGGTCCAAGCCTCTATCTTTGAGCTCCGCATGCTCTTGGCAAAGGGCACATGAGTCGCAGAAGAAATGAACACCACAATCGCAACATGGCTTGTCCGGTAAGTTATATTTGGCGCGCAGTTTCTGTCTGTAGAAGCATGAGTAGAGCCATTGGAGCCCAAACAACATCAAGCCGCAGTATGTACAACCTTGCCCACAGCATGCTAAACGCAAACCAAATCGACCGTACAAACTCCAGTTAGTAACGCAACAATGAATTTTAATCTGTCTCTTATACCTTATCTTGTTTAATTTATTTGTTGTCAGACTGTTAACTTGAGTTATAATTGAATGAAATGTTGTTAGACGTATAATTAAAATTAATGGTGTCATGACATAATATCCATAAAATTTTCAATAGGTATTTGTTGAACGAGATTTTGGCCCAATTACAAAAAAGGTGTTACTTGAGCTATAAAAATAAGTCACAATGCACTTTTTAGTAAAAAAAAGAAAAAGAAAATTAAAGATGCAAAATGAGTATTTTAGAATGATGATAACAATTTCCAAAGAAAAAATAAAAGAGTTTGATCGATAATATAATACTTACAACTTTTTCCTTCATCTACAATTTCTGCAATCCGACCAAAGGTAACGCATGGGCAGAAGTATGTAATGCAACCTACATGAAGTCACCAATTAGTCGAAGTAATGCACAAGTAGACCAAGAAATACTGCTAAAATTAAAGCTGCCAATTTTGAATTTTTTGAAAGAAATAAATAGATATTTATAGAATTATACTCACATGTGGAGCACTCATTCCCACAACCGAAAAGGCCAGAAGACCATTCGGACTTCAAGCCCATGCGATTCAAGATGTTCATATCGTCACCAAGCAAGCAAGAAAAAATATTGTATATATTAATGAAAACAATGCTAAATTATGTTGCAGTTTGCAAATGGATCTTAAGTTTTTTGTTATTTATAATCCACAATTCATGTCTTTGGGAAATTCGCTTGTGCACTTGTTTATTGATTTTAGTTTAGATATATTTTACATAGTAAAGCATGCAGGCGTTGCTAATATTTCTTCTCGGTATAATTAAGCAGGCCATGTCCTTGTTAGCATGGGAAAAATCTCAACAAAGAAGACTTGGTCGGTATCATCATGTGTTCCTCAACACAACATTTCGGAACTTCCGATACGTTATTCGTCTTAATGTGTAGTTAAATATTCATTTGAATTTACAGATTTAAGAAAATAAAAGAAAACATTATAATTGTAAAATCTAATCAAATGACTGAGAAATGGAATTGGCCAGAATGAACGTATTGATATTAGTCTACTACCTTTATACAGAGAGTTCCCTATAAACAAGCAGCTGATCTTGCAATACTACTATACAAGAAAAGAAGGAAATATATACATATTAATTAATGATTACACGCTTATCCTAGGACCTTTATGATAGGGATCCAGATTGCCTTCTAACACTCCCCCTCAAGTTGAAGAGTGGATGTCAAGAACTCCTAACTTGTGAATCATGACTGAAAAAGAATCCTTACCCAAGGGCTTTGTGAAAACATCTGCTAGTTGCTGCAAGGAGGTGTCATACTTGGTAGTGATCAATCCATCTTTTATTTTGTCTCTAATAAAATGACAATCTATTTCAATGTGTCGCGTTCGCTCATGAGAGACCAGATTCGTAGCTATGTGTAGTGAGGCTTTATTGTCACAATGAAGTAATGAGGCTTCTTGATGTGGTAACTGCAGGTCACGCAACAAACTCCACAACTAGGTGAGCTTCTGCCGAAGAGAGTGAGAGTTTTTTTGTCTCTTCATTCTCCATGAAATCAAGGAATTTCCAAGAAATACGCAACATCTAGTGGTAGACCTTCGAGTGATAGGACAACCTGCCCAGTCAGAGTCACAAAAAGCACTCAACTTCAAAGTATTCTCGGCTTGAAATAAAAGGCCTTGGCTAGGAGCACTTTTGAGGTATATGAGTATGCAAAGGGTACAACTTGCCCAGTCGGAGTCACAAAAAGCACTCAACTTCAAAGTATTCTCGGCTTTAAATAAAAGGCCTTGGCTAGGAGCACTTTTGAGGTATATGAGTATGCAAAGGGTAGCCTTTATATGTGGTCGACGAGGTTCATACATAAATCGACTGAGGACATGTACGCCATATGTAATATTAGGCTGTGTGATGGTAAGGTAGATTAAACGACCTACTAACCGTCTAAGCTGAGATGGGTCCTTCAACAATTCACCTGTACCAGACAACTTGGTTCCGTACTCCATTGGGATTGAAATCAGTCAAGCACCCAATATACCTCCATTTTTAATAATATCAAGAGCATAACTTCGCTGAGAAATATAAATGCCTTTCTTCGAAAGAGAAACTTCAATGCCTAAGAAAAATTTGAGATCACCAAGATATTTAATATGAAACCGAGAATGAATAATTTTTTTGAGGGAACTGATTACATTTTCATCATTGCCAGTAATCAATATATCATCGACATAAATCAATAGAGCCGTAAATGATTTGCCTATCCTACAAGTGAAAAGAGAATAATCAGCCTTCGACTGAACGAAACCAACCGCTTGAACATCTTCAGTTAACTTAGCGAACCATTGACGTGAGGCTTGTTTGAGGCCATACAAGGACTTGTTGAGGTGACACACTAGGTTCTGTTGGTGGATAAGCTTGGAAGCTGGATCACAGATGCATTGCAGCTGAAGCATGAAAGGAAGAAATGGAGTTCGAAAGGTTTTAAGTGTTAGAATAGCTGAAGTTCAAATAATGTAATGAATGGACATGATTATATCATCTCTTGGGTGTATATTCTACCACGTGTCTAGTTTGTTAGAAATTAAATGAAAACATGTGTTGAGCACGTGATCATAGTCACGCTCCAAGTGTGTGTGTGAGTGTGCGTATGCAACGGCTATAAATCCCACCATATAAGCCGACTTTGGTGGATCGAATCCAATGTAGATTTGAGGAACAGCATACTCCTTCTTCCTCAAAAGTTCATCTTTGATATTCAATCGTTGAATCCATTTCAATTACTTGTTTAATTGATTACAAATACATAGAGAAATTTAGATCAAAAGTAGCTCAAACACTAACATGGCCTCAGAGCTAGGTTGGATTTGAATCTGGGAGTGAATTTGTGAGTGTTTGTTTGAGTTTTCAATGAAGAACATAAAAGCATAAAAATGGTTGGATCTAGCACTGATCTTCATGCACCAATATTCACGGGAGTCAAATATGAATTCTGGTGTATCAGAATGAAAACAATATTCAAGTCTCACAATCTGTGGAGCTTTGTTGAAGATGGCTTCACATTATCGAAGGAAGGGAGGAAGACAGATGAGAAGCAAATTCTTACTGATCAAGATCTCATCTCCAGAGATGCAAAGGCGTTGGGATTGATAAAAAGAGATGTGAGTGATTAGATCTTTCCTAGAATCGCAAATCAAGAGACTACAAAGGATGTTTGGGATGTTCTTAAGCAAAAATTCAAGGGTGATGCTTAAGTTATGGCTGTGAAATTACAAGGCATTCGCCATGATTTTGAATATGCTAGGATGAGAAATAATGAATATCTCTCTGATTATCTAGCTAGATTATCTTGTCTTGTGAATAAGATGAAGGTGTTTGGTGAAACTTTGCCAAACAAGAGACTAGTTGAGAAAATGTTAATTAGTCTAACTCCTGCATATGATAACATTGTGTCTGTCATTGAGGGAACTGAGAAATTGGATGAGATTGATCCAAATGAGGTTGTTGCAACTCTGAAAGGATTCGAGCAGAGGTTGAAAAAGGCATACTGAAGATAAGGAAGTGAGTGATAAAGCATTTAGCAGTCTTACTATTCAAAACAAAAGTGGACCACAAACCATTGGGTACAAGGGGAAGAAGCCTTTAAAATTTAGAGATAAGAATGGTGATTTTAAGGCTAATGATAGGCCTCAATATGCTAAGAAACCTTGGTTTAATAAAGAAAACACAAGTGAGACATGTAAGATCTGTGGAGATATACACTATGGTGCAGGTTCAAAGGGAAGCCAAAGTGTCACAATTGTGGCAGATTCAATCCTTTTTCCAGAGATTGCAGAAGTAAACCAGTTTAATAGGTTCAAGTTGCACAACAAATGGAAGAGGAAACTTCAATGTTCTTTGCTTGTAATTCTACTGCAATTGTTAAAAGTGAACATGTCTGGTATATTGTAGTGGATGTAGCAATCACATGACTTCACATGAGTCCATGTTGATTGATTTGGACAAAAGTATTTCAACAAGAATCAAAATGGGGAATGGACAAATTGTTCAAGCTTGTGCAAAAGGAACTTTGGTAATTGAAACCAAGAGGGGCGTTAGACATATTAAGGAAGTAATGTTGGTGCCAGGATTGGATGAGAATCTCCTTAGTGTAAGACAAATGATGCAACATGGTTATTTTCTATTATTTGAAGATGATCAAGTTGCAATCTTTGAAGATAGAAGTCTGGAAAGTCATGTTGTTACTGTACAAATGATTGGAAATAGATGTTTTCCATTACTGATGGAGAACATGAATGGTTCTGTACTAAAAGCAAGTATTGAGGGTGATGCTTGGGAATAACACAAAAGACTCGGGCATTTGAATTTTAATAGCTTGCAACCGTTATCTGATAAGAAAATGGTGTTGGGATTACCAAAACTCAAGAAGTCATCTAGTGTCTGTGAATGGTGCATTGCTGGAAAGCTGCACATAGATGTTTCCACTAAAGAATTGACTTGGAGAGCAAGCAAACCTCTAGAACTTGTTTACTCAGATGTGTGTGGACCAATGCAGGTCACAACATTTGGAGGAAATAGATACTTATTAACTTTCATTGATGATACAACTAGAATGTGTTGGGTTTACCTTCTGAATCACAAATCAGAAGTGTTCACAGTGTTTAAGAAATTCAAAGCCATGGTTGAATTGCAGAGTGACTACAAAATTCTAAAGTTAAGAAGTGATAGAGGTGAAGAGTATAACTCTCATGAGTTTATTCAATTTTGTGAAGATTTGGGGCCTGAGGGACAGTTGACTATGACCTATTCCCCACAGCAAAATGGTGTTGCTGAGAGGAATAATAGAACTATTGTTGAAATGGCATACTCCATGACAAATATTTACTCTATAAGTTTTGGGGAGAAGCTGTTAACACAATTGTGTATTTACTCAACAGGTGTCCAACAAAGGCTATGGAACACAAAAACTCCATTTGAAGCTTTTAGTGGCAGAAAGCCAGGTATTCAACATTTAAAGGTGTTTAGGTGTATCTGTTATGGTCACATACCTGGACAACTAAGACAAAAACTTGATGAATCCTCTATGAAAGGTTTTTTTGTTGGATATGGGAAGATGGATAAATGATACATGATAATCAACTTGAGTACCAAGAAGATTTTTCTGTCAATGAGTGTTGTATTTGATGAGAAGGGTACTTGGAGTTGGAATGCATTAAATTGTGATAAGCTATTATTCCCCGTTAATCTGAATCAACCTGAGATTGATCATGACATTTAGCTAGAAGGGAGCAAATATGTAACACATGAATTCACTAATTCTTAAACTGAGAGTGGTAAGTCCAGTACTGCTAAAGCCACACTAGTTAAAGAGAGAAATCGCTGAGT